GTTAGGCGGGCACGCCTGGGGTGACAAATTTTGTAATCGTACGACGTCTGAAGAAGCGTCAAGGAGGTCACTTGTCATATTAGCATGGTTATCCGACTCACAATAAGCATAAACTTACATTTGTTTCCGGGATTTTATTCTTCAATAGCTTTATTTTTATTAATAAGACTACTTATCTACTTATTGGAGGGTATTCCAGCGATCTAATTCATGGTTTTATTTGATTAATAAAACTACTTACTGGTGGTAACCAGGGTTTTCAAACGAAATATACTTTTCATTCAGTACTCAACGATCATGTTAGAAAATAATGGATTTTCTTGGGAAGCATGCATACATATTTCAGAAATCAATAACAAAGGTTTTCGATACAAACGATATTTACTTATAATGAAAAGTAATCAATTTTACAAATTCAGTGACTAGTTTCCAATACAAAAACATGCTTATGAACTCACCAGCTTTATGCTGATACGTTTTCAAAAACCGTTTGTATCCTCAGGGCAACGATAGGCAGGTACCTTCGCTCACTTTTGGAGAAGACAGAGCATCTTGAAGTCCAGTCTTTATCTTTTGTTACTTTTGAATATAAAGATATGTACAAGCTATGTTTTCGAACAAATGTAAATATTCATATTGCAATGTAATGGTTGTGTTTACTTTGATTGCTATGATACGATTGTTGTGATACTACGCATGATGTCCTCCGCCCCGGAACGTTTCCGCCTTCGGTTTCGGGGTGTGACATATTGGGTCTTGGGAAAATTCTGATTATGATTATATTCTTGAAACAATGATTTTTTAAACACTTGATGGTTAAAATGGGTTGTTTTTGAAAATTTTAAATTTCTATGATTTTTGGGATGTTACACATATCCCAAGAAATATGGAAAAAGCATTAATATTGTAATAGAGGGTACTACCCTTGTGACCTCTGGCCAACTACATCGCCCAGATAATATCAATAACCAAGATTCTATTGTTTGAGTATAACTACCCTAATAAACATCGATAAAGGTAGCACACTTTCACTAGAAATTAAGCAACATCAACATCTGATATATATCCTTGTGCTTACTTGTATTGCAGCGTGACTTCCTCTAAAGTATCGATCTCTAGCCTGGGAAGCTACGTATAAATATCTCTATAAAAGTATATGAAATTTCCCTTAAAATATGTATAATTTAGGACACATCAAGGAGCAAACCCCTATTCTCCTTTTTCTCATAAGTAAGAATTATAATTTGTGCCCCCTTTCAAAATTACTCGATGTATTTGCTTATTTTAAAATCTTACAATAGACTATTAAAAGAAGTCAGTATAAACCATTACCAGTTTGTACCAACCAAACTTGTTGCTAGCCAAATATAATGGTACCAAGTATACTTGGTACGGTACCGATAGAAAATTTTTTATACCAATTATAATTGGTACGGTACACGGTTTAAGGAAAAACGAATTGGTACCGTACCAACTTCACCTTTATGCACAAGTCCCATTAATGGAAAACTGTAATTACAATTAGGGTTTGACAAAACGGCCCGTACATAAAAAGATCAAACTTCTTTCTCCCTCCTGAAATCCCTAATAACTCCGCCGAGCAGCCTCCGTCAAAGAGGTGTAATTTCTAGAAATTTATTTCCAGTCAATCGTTGTTTACGATTCGAACATTGCTCTGTTAATGTTCTTCTTTTTGATACTCTTTCCTCTCTTAATTGGATTTTGACGAACAATAGTTTGCGAAAGTGGAGATGGCTAAATCGAAGAATCATACGGCGCATAACCAGTCACATAAGGCTCATAGAAACGGAATCAAGAAGCCCATGAAACATCGCCATACTTCGACCAAAGGGGTTTGTTCCTGTTTTATTCTATCAAAATCTAATTCTCTAACTAATGTTCGTGTTTTAGATGTCTGCGTTTCTTATAGTAGAACACAACTGAATATTCTACTGTCAATTTAGTAACTTTTTCTATCAGTTGAGCAATTTCACGTTTGAGTTCGTGTAAATGTCGTGTAGTGATTATGGGAAAAGAGAAAATTGTTAAAAAAATTCTATCTTATGTCTATATTTGTGTATTTTCATGTTGTAAATTTGTTTTTTGTTTTCATTGTCATGTTGGAATCAAACAAAGCAATGATCAATAGAATTGTGTAGTAGATTATGTTCAATGTAAAGATCTCTAATTAACATCACAATTAGTAAATTGGCTTCAAAACCTGAAAATAGATGTTTCATAAATCATTGTTTTTAGTTAATGATGGGGAGTTTTATGGTTGTGAATGCAGGTGGATCCTAAGTTCTTGAGGAACCAGAGGTATGCAAGGAAGCACAACAAGCAGGGTAGTGAATCCGCTGTTGAAGAGTATATGTGTTATGATAAGTTGTTTTTTGGTTTACTGGATTTTGTTCTTTGTGAGGAAGTGCTAATCATTCGAGTTTATAATATTGAATATGTATGAACTTTTTACGAATATTATATGAATTCTATGATTTTGTTACTAATTACTACATGTTCCACAGTTTTATTTGAATAAAATACAATGAAATGTTTAGTGTTGTACTTCTTTTGGAACTCAAATTAACTACGAAAAATCATTTTACATGATGCTGCAAACGATTTTCTGAAATTTAGAGTTGGGAGGTAGCCAATATTGGAAATGGAAAGGAACATTCTTAATAGGGGTGTTAATACATATTTTTCCAAAACATGTTTTAAAGCGGTGAGGATAACAAATCCTATAAGAAATTTTTATTTAAGTGCTCTAAGGAGAGAGTAAAACGATGTTGGGTTATCTATGGACTATGGGAAGTCATCATGCATCAAAATTAGAGGTGAGAATCGATTAATTTTATGGTTTCTTAGGTTTCTTTGATTTGGTTTCCACGGTTTGAAATTATTTTATGTCTAAACCGAAAACTAAACCAAACTAAATTAAAAAACTTAGAGCAAATTGAAAATCAAATTATAATTCCGTTTGAAAATTAAGAAAATCCTTATAAACTAAATTAAAATCACTTTTGTATGAGATTGTGTTTCCTTATTTGTATATATCTTGTATGTTAAGATATGATCTTAGGCTTCTATTATATGGTAAGTCTGAACTTCATTACTATCCGTAACTCATAAGGAAAGTATATATCTTAAAACCTAAGGGTTTTATTTACTACTAAATCTTCATGAAGGTTTTTGATGTAATTAGGGGTACAAACCCTGATAACCATCAGTGGCAGTAACTGCTGACGGACAGGTTTTGACATATCAAATCTTAACGTTCCTAACATGTTATTATTTGGTGTCTGGGTTGAGAATAAGTTTACAAAAAGCAAATTTTTTTGGAATTGGAGTTAGATGGGAGGATGTAGTGATATTTGCATAGTTGGTGGATTGTAAACCAGACAAACTGCCTTTTGTTTATTTGGGTCTTCTGATAGGTCAGAATATGTCCAAAATTGTGGGGTGGAAACCGATCAAGGATAGGTTTGTCAAGAAGCTCTCGAAGTGGAAGATGTCAATACTATCTATTTGTTTATTAGATGTGAGGTGGTAGCAAGAGCATGAGATGTAAATGGATTTGCATACAAAATGTTCAGTTTGATTCTATTCTTCAATTGTTCGATTATTTGGATTCTTTGCGAGCCGCTGTCAAAAAGAAGAATGCAATGGATGCGATTGTGTGTACTACTTTGTGGTATATTTGGAGGTTTCATAATCACAAAATGTTTGCTACAGGAAAGATGAGATTATTTAATCCATAGGTGAATTTTCTTTTCTTTAGTTTAGTAATAGAAATAGAAAGTACTCTATCATATGGAATTGCTACTTGCAATATCCAGTAAACAATTTGTTAATCTTTTTTGCTAGTTTTTTGCTAGATTCTCATTTATAAAAATTGGTTGGTTCTTACGAAAAAGAAAAATCTAGGAGCAACTATAATCCCGAATTCAATAAGAGAGTTGAATAATGAAGAATCTAGTCATCGTTCAACGAGGAAACTTTATTATTATAAAATGTCACATTCACATTTAATGGATTTGAAGTTAAATGACCATTAACTCTTGAATGAAAAAGAAAGTTTTATAATTTTTAAATAAATACTATAAGTTAACTTTTATAATGTTTGATTGGACTTTATAGAATTCAATACATTATAAAAAAAAGTTATATAGAAATATCAAAAAATTATATAAAATTGATTAAACTCTATAAAATTTAATATGGTTATTTAAAATCTATTTTACTAATACATTTTATTAGTTTTAAATTTATTTAATTAAATTAGCAAAAAACTTTGCAAGAATAAAATCCAAAAACCTACAAGAGTTTTATCTATTTTCGGTATCAATAAAATTTGGATCGGTTCCGGTTTATACCATCCATTAGATAGTCCAATCAAGTAGCAACACTCTCAAACACGTGTAGGCAGGATCCGGTTAACCGCCAACACCATCGGCTTCTCGTCCCTCTGAAATGACACGTCTGAAATAACGACACACGTGTCATCTCACACCTCTTTCTTCTCCTTCCTCCTTCCACTTCGCCATTTTCATAGAAATTTGTAAGCTCGGCAACTACCTCTCTCTCTCTCTCTCACTGTGCACGCTACACACAACTGTTCGACAATGGGCCACAACTTGGAGACTCGATCGTTGATGGATGAAATTAGAAGCTTCGATAGGAATGGAGGTTTCTTCGATTTAGGTCATCCCCTTCTCAATCGTATGGCCGACAGCTTCATCAAGGCCGCCGGTGTACGCCTCTCTCTCTCTCTCTCTCTCTCTCTCTCTCTCTCTCTCTCAGTGATCATCAGGTTGAGATTAATTAATCGAACTGTTGTGTACAGATTGGAGCAGTCCAGGCAGTGTCGCGGGAGGCATATTTCACTGTTACCGAAGGTAATCCTAAACTCTTATTACACTTATGAATTACTTACCATTAGTGCCAGATCTTCAAGTTATTGATCTGTTGTCAGTGATACAAGATGCTAATATGGATCCTTACTAAATCGAACTTTGAAAGCAGACATGAATTCATATGTTACTATATTCAAATTTGAGGGTTACATGGTTCTTGATTTAGAGTTTTTATAATCATTTGCACAGATGGAGATTCGACTGCTTTCCCTGCTACCCAGCGGAAACATCGCTTGTCGGAACTCAAAGGTACGTACGAACAACTCAAGTCTTGCTACAGCTATGGAGCATGCATGTCATAAGACGAGGGTCATAATGTTTTACTGATTATTTCACCTTCATTTCCAGGAGAAACCAACAAGAAATCTGTTGAAGCGTTGGTATGTTCGTTGCTACAAATTACTATAGATATTACTATCCATGTGTTGTTAATTCTCGCATAGTAATTAACTTCTTGATTTTTTATGTATTTGGATGTTTGCAGGTTAAAGGCACAGGGAAAGAGTCTCTGCAATGGGGTAAACTCATTGATCATCATCCCCATCAGTGTCATGAGAACTATATATATAGAACTACGCGTATGCTAACAATTGAAGTTTAACACCTCAGGTCTTGCTGCTGGGATGTATTCAGGTGTTACATATGGATTAAAAGAAGCTCGAGGAGTTCATGATTGGGTACTGAGCAAGTTTTGATATACTCTTGATGAGTAGTTTGGTAAGAACTTGTTTGATTTTGATGCAGAAAAACAGTGCGATGGCAGGAGCGATCACTGGTGCAGCTTTATCATTAACGTTTGAGGATTCTTCTCATGAACAGATTGTGCATGCTGCCATCACAGGCGCGGCTATATCCACGGCTGCTAATCTTTTGACTGGGATATTCTAGAATTCTAGGGCTTTTCATTTGAATATTTTCTTGTTTAATTAGTATGGATCTCCCAGTGTTGGTTTTTAATTAGTTATATCTTGTTTGAATGAAGATATGGAGTTTCTGCGTAATATGGTTAAGTTTAGATCTTTAATGCTATTATGTGTGTATATATAATGCTATGATTCATTAAAGTAAGGTTACAAGTTGGATTTCCCATGCTATCAAGTTTTGTTAATTCCCATCTTTCATTGGTCTTGCTTGAACTTATATCTGTCCAAGAAACGTTTATTTGCTAATTAAAACGTTTTTGTTTGTGATCAGTTTTGGTGAAAATGTCAACTAGGACTTTATATGGTTCTAATAGACCCATCATAAGCCTCTCGTAGTCTCGTATTGTAATCGAGTTAACCCTCTATATATTTTTGGATCTTATAGTCTCACATTGATGTTAATAACATCCAAAACCGGGTTTTATTATTTGCGAAATGTCTTGCAATTGATCAGAGAATAAGGAACAATTAAAATAAATAAAGATTATTCTACCCTTAAGCTAGATAGATCATAAAACTTATAGTGATAATTAAGAAAAGAAAGCGTGACAGCAAATGTTTCTTCGGATAAAAATAGCAACAATTTGCTGATAGGAAGGAATGCGAGGCAACTTGATTCTTGTGTAAGAATAGCTACAATTGGCGGATAGGAAGGAATATGAAGCAACTTGATTCTTCAATATTAAAGATGAGAACTATTGTAACATGATTATTATGCCTCGACAAAAATACCAACAATTTGTAGATAGGAAGGAATATATGAACCAATTTGATTCTTTAATATTAAAGATGCTAGGTAATGTAATGCGGTCAATCTTAACGGGCTTTGTCTTTCTTTTGAAAATTTGGATATGGCAATCCGCATCACATCTTTCACTGTTACAACGTGAAGCGCAACTAAAATATTTAATCAATTTCATAATTATTTAATTTCTAAAATATTTAAGCATGAATTACAAATAAAAGGTCCTAATATTTCAACTTAAACGTTTTAACGAGCTAAATTTTAAAAATTTGAAAGTGTTAAACTTTAGTTATATAAGGATGTACAACAATTATCAAAACATAAGTAAAAAATGAAACCACTACATAGACATCACTTTTGAAATATTTTTGTTTTCGTCTATCATCTTTCTTCATCATGATCTAATTTTAATACATGTCGAAAATATATAGATTAGGCTTGGGAGACCTAATAATAGTACCGATGATCATCATTTTTATGTCTTTCGGAAAATGCGAACCACAAAAGTATTTCAAAACATTATATATACATATAAATTTTAAACCCCCTTTATGAACAGTAAAAGTAGCCCATTTTTCATTTTCGCCCCTAGACTTTTGTGTTTGTGGGTTTTGTTAACTTTAATCCTTGGTCAAACTATTTTTACATCCCGGTTAATATCTGGTCAATGTTTTTTATTTTACTCTGTGGTCTGGATTAGTGTCCTGTACACGTGTTATGTCCCCTCTTCCACCTCCCATGCTTCCATTCAGATGCGTTTCTCACTTCTTTTTTTCCTATCCCTTATACCGACTCTTCCAGTTTTCATTCTTTCTTGCTCATGACACCCCCAACGACTTCTGAGATCGATCGACAATAGCCTTCTTCGATTTTGGACATATCGCAGCCGACCAGACCGATTCCGGCCACATGACACGTTGCTGACTCTGCCTCTACCATAGCAGATGCCTACAACTCTGCCTCCAACATTGCATACGCCGCGGACCCTCTTCCATCGGTACTACAATTTCTCATCATTCACCATTAATCAAAATCAATTCCTTATGTGCTCTATTTTTCTTACAATCGGTTCACTAGTACAAAAAAGACCTACGGTCACACTTTCCGAAAAACGGTCTGTGGCACTTTTTATAAAAAGTGTGGCCAAAGTTCACTAAAAAAATTTTGAGACTGTTTTTGGATACATTTAAATTAGTTTGTGTGGCCATTATATAGATAATCAAAACTTTAACCACACTTAATTATACCAAATGTAACAAACATTAGTCACACTCGAACACTGAGGCCATATGTCACAATCAGCCACATGTATCGATTAATATTGTCATACTTTTTTTATGAGAGACAGTAGATAAAAGTATCGTCACATGAGTTAGTTCTTTGTGTGTCTATAACCTGGTGCCTTTTTAGCCACATAACAGACAAAGTAGCTAAAAAGTGATACGTATGGTCATACTAAATATTTATGTGTCCATAGGGCGGTTTTGTACTAGTTGTACTTAGTTAACGCAAGAAAATAAAACAAGTTACTATTGGTTACTTATGGTCATGTACCTTTTATTATGTGTGTCAAAATATTATGAATTGGCTTTAAGAATAAATAAATATTGTGTGTGTAGGTAGCATTTAGTTACGATTACAGCTATTATATGTGTCTATATGTAAATATAGTTATAAAAGAACAATAATGTCTTATCGTTATAATTAGGGGTCGTTCATTGAATATGTTACTTATGGCTATGTACCTTTTATTATGTGTGTCAAAATATTATGAATTGGCTTTAAAAAGAAACAAATAATGTGTGTGTAGGTAACATTTAGTTACGATTACAACTATTATATGTGTCTATATGTAAATATAGTTATAAAAGAACAATAATGTCTTATCGTTATAATTAGGGGTCGTTCATTGAATATGTTACTTATGGCT